ACATCTGAACATGTTCTTGACTAAATTGATAGCATTTCATTTTAGAATTAAAATTTCATTTTAGTGTACATACTTTAGAAAATACCACAATACATCATAGACCCATGTGTTATTTAAGAACAATCATTTTTAAAACAGGAAATAAAAATTATTTGGCTTACTTTCATTTGTAGATGAGAAAATGAAAGTCCAGAGAATGAAATTTACTTGTACATGACAAAGTTTAATGGAATCAGAGTCTACTAAAGCCCTGTGTCATTCATTTTGATTATCAGCAATTTGAAAATGAACCCTAGGTATATTAAAACGTATTATTTCTTTATGAGTTTCTGTCCACATTTGGTTTGAGGTTCTTTTGACTAACCTTCAAGGAGCATTACATGTTGTAGGTGGTTTTCTGTAATCATGCCTATCTAAGGCTATTTTCCGTACAGGACATTTTAATTACTATTATAGTTTTAATGATTTTTTTACAAAATGTTTTTCATATGTGTACAAGGTGAATTGATTATAACGGTGCAATTTTAAATACAAATCAATAAAATTACTTCATTTGGTTTTAACACACGAGGTATTTAAGATGCTAGAATAAAGAAATGAGTACTTTAATTAGTATTTAAAATGTCCTCTGCCTGGTTTTATAAGCAATTATTATTCTTCCTTTTGAAGCCCTAATTATGCGGAGAGTTAAAGGACAGAAATCTCTGAACAGTGACTAAAACTAGATGTCCAACACCTGTATGGTCTTGCTAGATTTTTCCTTCAAGTTCCTTTCCTCAGTCTAGCAGTGTCTTGTGTAACACACTGTGAAAACCTGTCCCACAAGGCTGGTTTTACTTAATGATACTTAGCGGAAGAGCTTTGCACTTTCATGATAATGTCCAATAGAAAGATCTCTCTGGAACTTACTAATAATAATCAGGCCCAATATTAGCCTCCGATTGGAGATTTATTAAATCTAATTGGCAGAGTAAAGTTGAATGGCTAGGTATTCAAGCATCTAGGCTGAGCTTCGGCCCTGGAAAGTGCCTCTCGGGCCAGCACCTTCACATCACTCCTCAACTCGTGATTTGTGCTAGAAATGACAATTCTTGCTCTCCATAGGCTGTGCGATTGCGAAGCTTGCATCTATCTCCTTCCATTGCTTTGGGAGGATGCCAGAAGCTCAGTATTCTTCCTTAACCGTGGGCAAGACAGCAGGGTAACGCTTTGTCCCTAAGGTTTCGCTGGATTTTATTTTTTAATTTGGAAAATATGGACGGTGATTCCTTTATCACCAGCAATTAACAAGTATCTATGAACTGCCTGCTAAGCTCGCGGGTAATACTAGGGATGGGGGAGGAGGAGCAGGTTACGCAGGGGCGGTAGGGCAGGAACTACTACTTCCCTTGCTGCCTTTTTTTTCTTGCCGAGTAAACTTCCACTAAGATTCATAAATCTCCAACACCGTGTGTGCGTGAAGTCCATCACCCATTCTCCGCAAACAGGAAGAGGTGAAGTTTCCTAAGGGTCTCTGCGAGGGGAGGCCGTCCCCGCGGGGCCCCGGGCGCCAGCCCACAACGTCTCCGCGCGCCGCCGACGCAGGGCGCCCAACTCGCGATTCGCGATCGCGGGACCCCCGGCCGGGCGGCGGCGCCGATCGCGCTCCCCACCTGCCTCGGCCCGGCCCCGCGCCTCCCGGCCGCTCCGCCGCCGCGCTCGCTCCCCCGCCCCGGGCTCGTTTCAGTCATCCCTTTGTCCTTGCCCGGATTGGCAGGTTTTATTATTCCGCCTGAACAATCCGGCCGCCCAGTGGCTGAGGGTCGCTGACGTCGGCGGCAGAGCCGGGGAGTAGTTGGGATTCTGCTCTGTCAGTAACACATGTGTACGAGCCGCCGACGGAGCGAGCGAGCCGGCTAGAGGCCAGCGCCGCCGCCTCCGAGCCGGGCAGCTGCAGCCCGGCCGCGGCGCAGCCTGCAGGAGCGCGCGGGCCCG